CTTTTATTACTTTATTAGTTTTCTTTTTTTTATTATTTTTATTTTATTTTATGTATATATTTCTTTCCTCAATTCCGGTTTGATAACAGTAACCAACTTTTTTTATGTGTAATTATCTTAAGTGTACTAAAATGGAAATTGATTGTAGCTTGGTGGCTTAATGTATGCAAGCGCGTATATGCGTATACGTCCTTACACAAATTTGTAAATCCCTGCGCCTTGAGAGTATACACTCAAATTTGAACGTAAACGTCCTAGAAAATAAAAATGTATATAAGCAACAGTTGCTCAATAAAGCAAAAACCATCTCTCGTTCCACTTTGATTAAATAAAATTAAATGCTTATCTGAATATTCCCTTGTGAAATGTCGACTTGTAACTTTAATGTGAAATGTCGACTTGTAACTTTAATAAACCTTTCGAGACTCAATTCGACTGACTGAATTGACTTGTAACTTCGATTCGGTTTATTAAGACTCGGATTCTAGAACGACTGTGAAATCAAATATTGCCATTTACGATGTTACTTATGGAAACTGTTTGTTATTTGGCTTAACTAACTCTCACATAGTTGTAAAAACCCATTACATTTACCAAAAGTCCATTGCAATCTCCCCAGCTTTCCCAATCAACGGTTACAATAGTTTCATTCAAATAAACGTCCAAAAGTCCTATATATTCATCTATATAAAGCTTCATTGACCAGCATAGTAACGCCATGATCAAATAAATCTTACATTTCGCAGTCTATTGTTGTTATTAAACAGGACCTTCGTATGCCCAACTTGTCTTGTGCATGTGATCTCGAACCATGTGATACTTGTCTGGCTGAGACCCAATGTACAGAGGTAAATAAAATTAAGATGTAGATTACCTCATTCTGTTAGTTCAACCCCACTCAACGTGGCGAATTGGTCATGGTTCGAAAAGATAAAAAAATTATTTAGTTAGTAATAGTGTTAGTAAACAAGAGCGGAATCAACTCAAAAGTTACTTACCAAAAAAAAAACAAATCAACTCTCCGAATATACTTGCCCCTTTCAACTCAATCTATTGTTGGTTTCACGAACATTTTTATTCCAAAGCAACTGTCTCGTTATTTTAGCCTGACAAAACAACTTTGTTACGAAAAAAGTTCATCTACGCTAAATAGTAGAATATTATTTAAAAAATTCAATTGAAACTTATAATAAAAAAGAGGATTTTTAATCTTAATAAGCCAACTTGACGACATCATATTATTTGACGGCATAATGCATTTTATAGCTTTAAATTTTTTTTAAAATAATTGTAATCCTCACAATAGCATTATAAAATACTGTGAAATGCTTTTATCGATTGAGCGAATTCATAAAAAATTTTAGTCAAACATAAAAATTATTAAATGCCTAATAAATTTATTTATAATGATATAGTGAATGCCTAGTAAGAATCTATAACTGTAATTCGATATAATTTTTTTTTCAATTAT